GAGCTTAGTGCTTGGAAAAAATCTTTCATTCCTTTAGAGACAGCATGAAAAGTCAGCTGAGTACAAAACATAGAGAGGAAAACAAGAAGAAGAGAGACGAGAAGAGAGGGACACAACCTAGAACAGATAATGGATGTCTATTCTATTAACATTTCTCTATCTGTAGAATGGGTCTGTTCTATGTGTTATCTTCTCAATGGAGAGGGCCCCAAATTTCATAACTCCACTCCTGCTTACAATGCTGATAAAAGTCTTATTGAATGTTTCTGTCTTCAGTAAGATCATTGGCTCCACATAGGGGAAGATGTCTGCAGCAGGAAATAATCCTTTTCAGCATATAGTGGAGCCTCTCAGCCCAGAGGCACCAAGCCAGAAGTTTTTCAACCTGCCGAAGCTCGGAGATCCCAGATACGGTAACGGCCGACTGGTATTTGGTTGCAAGGTGAGATTAAACCCCGTTAGATCTGCTGAGTTCTGATTGTGGTCGTCTCTCCTCAGAGAGGCTGCCGTTCTCCATCCGGATCCTGCTGGAATCGGCCATCAGAAACTGTGACGGGTTTCTAGTCAAGCGCTCGGATGTGGAAAACATCCTGAACTGGAAGGAAACCCAGAGCCGGAGTGTGGAGGTGCCGTTCAGGCCGGCTCGTGTCATCCTGCAGGACTTCACGTAGGTCCCTTCTCCGCTGCTGTAGCGCTGTTGGAGGAAGAGAGCAGCGGTGCGAATGAATAATAGACTCAGATTGACTCTAAACTTTAGTTAGACTCACTCTCTCTATGTTTTTTTGACTGCATCTTATCAGTGGGAAGAATCATTTAATCAACTAAAGGGATTTTTAGCTACAGTTTGGTTTCCGGTTCTGAATTTGTTGTAAATTTTCTCTACACACAGCTACATGTTTACAATGTTTGATCGTAATCTAAAGTTAGTGCTGCAGGTTCCATAAAGCCCATTTCCACTAGCCTTTTGAAACCGCGCGGAGATCGATCTGAGCATGGTAACCCAGATAACAGTTGAGTGTAAATGGTACACACAACTGAACCGAACCGAGCTAAACTGGTACTAGTTCATCAGTAGGGCTCGGCGTTGTTCTGTTCTGGCTCAGTTCTAAGATAACAAAGAGCGCATCAGCGCCATCTCCTTAAAGGCTGTGTATACTCCCGCAGTGTGTCCTGGGTATGACGCAGACATTTTTGATTTATGCTCAATTTTTAAGCGTGGTCTGCGCACGCCACAACGCCAGAGGGACAATCATGAACTAGCTAGGATTGTGGGTGTCCGTGTGGCGGTTTGAAGAGCTTCTTCGCCATCTACAACCCCTCATCCAAGGTCGGAACGACACACAGTTCACCCGTGAGTGTTCCCCAAAAACTGGCCGTGGCGCTGCGTGTTCTGGCTTCGAGTGCAAACCAACAGACCGTCGCACAGAGCTACAAACTAGCGTCCTCCACGGTGTCTGGGAAAGTGTCCGAGGTGTGCCAGGCGTTGTGGACGGAGCTACAGCCAGAGTTTCTGCCATTAGTTACCAAACAGGAAGTATGCATAGTGTAGAGAGCAGATGTAGAATTGACCAATCAGAGGCCTCCTTTCCTCCAATTTCTCACATGGAATAGCCTTCATTTCTAAGAACAAGAATAGACTGTCCAGTTTCAGAGGAAAGTTCTCTTTTTCTGGCCATTTTGAGCGTTTAATTGACCCCACAAATGTGATGCTCCAGAAACTCAATCTGCTCAAAGGAAGGTCAGTGTTGTAGCTTCTATAACGAGCTAAACTGTTTTCAGGTGTGTGAACATGATTGCACAATCAATAGGGGGTTTTCAGGTGACGTCACGCTCACGTGACTACTCAGCGCGTCCGCCATATTGGGTGGCAGCCTTAGGCAGTATTGACAGTGAAAAAT